GCCAACAGCATCCTGGCCTGTATCAGGAACAGCGTGGCGAGTAGGCGTTGTTTCCCAAATGTCCCCCTGTACTCGGCACTGGTGAGGCCCAACCTCGAGTACTGTATCCAGTTTTGGGCCCCCCTACCATAAAAAAGACATTGAGGTGCTGGAGCGGGTCCAGAGAAGGGCGACAAAGATGGTGAGGGGTCTGGAGAATAAGTTATATGAGGAGAGGCTGAGGGAACTGGGGTTATTCAGCCTGGAGAAGAGGAGGCTGAGGTGAGACCTTACAGCTCTCTACAACTACCTGAAAGGAGGGTGTAGAGAGATGGGGGTCGGTCTCTTTTCTCAAGTCACAGGCGACAGGACAAGATGAAATGGCCTCAAGTTGCGCCAGGGGAGGTTCAGGCTGGATATTAGGAAAAATTTTTTCACTGAAAGGGTTATCAGACATTGGAATGGGCTGCCCAGGGAGGTGGTTGAGGCACCATCCCTGGAGGTGTTCAAAAGACGGGTTGATGTAGTGCTGGGAGGTATGGTTTAGTGATGATCCTTGTTGTGTGTGGGTGTCTATTTTTGTCAGTTAGGTTGACGGTTGGACAAGATGATCTTTAAGGTCCCTTCCAACCTAGAAGATTCTGTGATTCTGGGAAATAGCCAGGATTTGGGTCAAAAAAACCTTTCAAGCTCCAGCCCCGGCACAGGAAAAGCGGGTCAGCGGCTGGGGGGCACTTCTGAGGTGAGAGTGACGCCCCTTCTCCCCGCCCTGAGGGGACACGTCTCAGCCGCCGCCGCCGAAAGGCGGGAGCCTGTGGCCGCAGCAACGGCGAACGGTGGTTCAGAGGGAGCGCTGTAAGCGAGGGCTCATTTGGAAGCACAAGCTGGCGACGCCGGGGTGGGAAACCGGCCGTAAAATTCCAGCGTCCCCGGCAGCCGCCGCCACCCTCACACTGAGAGCCTGGTTCATCCTCCAGTAGCCGCTGCCCTGATAGCGACTATCCTTCCAGGCATTGGCTGCTGTCCCCCGGCCGCCCTCCCGCCTTGCAATGGGAGTTTGTTCTTGCAGCTTCTGATTGCAGAGAAAAACACGAATCTGCAGCCAATTTCCTGAGTTTTCTGTATTGCAAGGTGCAAGAATGGACTCCTCAGGGTGCCTCTCACAGAGCTGCTGGAGCTGGACCTCAGGATATTTGAGAATTCTGCTGGCTCTCTTCACTTACAAAGGAAGCTATACATGCTAGTACGTCTGTACATTACTACAGAAGTACCTATGCAGAGCTAGCTAAAGCAGAACTGCAGCTAGTTATTGCCTGGAGTTTGGGATGCCTCCGAAAAGACACCTTTTTTCTTTTGTGCTAGTCATGAAAAGCGAGGCTTCCAAATAGCGATTTCTGCTGGGATGAGAAAGAAGCCATAGGAGTTTGGTTTTTGTAGTATTTGGCTTTGCTTAGAGCTTTGTCTCTGTTAGAGGGGTGTAATAACAAGTCCAACTAGCAATAAGCAGCTGTTATTCACAATGAAATGGAGGTGAAGAAAGATGAATGTGATACATGTTTTTAATTCTAAAAAATTTGAGAAGGAGGAGGGATGCGGCTCAGGACACTTCTTTGATTAGTATTAGAAAATATTTACGATTTGGGGATTTTCCATGGGAAAAAAAATATATCATCTCTTTGCTTTTAAAATATAGGAAAGGGATCTGCGAAACAGGACTTTTTCATCCATTGCACTCTCTGCCACTCTCGTTTCATACCTTTGTACTGATGATTCAGTCCTTCTCCTATCGCATTTCTTTATCAATGCAGTGTTTCCAAAGTGTTAGCAAGAAAAAACTTCATGATTCTTGAAGCCCACATCACGAAGAATACCAAAGTTCACTACATTATTAAGATCAGTGTTCCACGTGTAGATAAGAGCTGAACCATTGTTCCTGTAACAATTAAGTGTATAACCTGAAAAAAAATTATTTTACTTTGTTCCATTTTTGAAATAAGGATTCTGTCAATGAAAAGCAAAAAGGCATAAAATGTGTAATTTACTGGGGGGGGGAGGGTTCCACTAAAAATGTTTTATGTTAGGTGAGACATCTAAAGTACTTAGATACGGGATGTTTAATTTAATTAGTAAAAAGTCGCCACTTTTCCAGTTCAATACTTCAAATTCTAAGGAATTCTAGGAATTAAAAAAAAAATCCTGGTTTTTTTTTGCCTTTTTTTTTATAACATGGAGACAATGTATTTATTAGTTTTTTAAAAGAGCTGAGTTCAAAATTAATTGTAATGTGCTTTAGAGAATATTTTAGTTTGTGGGGAAAAATATTAAAGACTAGAAAATATTATCACTCATTTAAGGCACCATCCTCAGAGTTGTCAAGCTGTGTTTTACAACACAATCAAATATCATCCTTCCTAAACCACACTATAATTTCTAAAATACTCTTTCTTCAATTAAATTGAAGGAAATTACAAAAGAATATATTATACATTTGATTTACAAATAAAAAATGGATTTCCATAGAAAGATAAACTTCCTGTCCAAAAAACATAGTATGTATTACCTTTCCTAGATAACTTTTAATAATCTTCTCTGCCTTTTCTGGAGCAGTGGTGATGAACTTCAGCCTTGTATCTGATGTGACTGCTCTTTTTGGAGGCATATCAATGCTAGATAACACTTAGTTTTTGCTTCATGGAGAAAGCACAGATTTCTAAGACACAGAGAACTTATCAGGACCGCTGAAACACTTCTATGAAGACATTCAGAAAGTCTCAAGTATGGTATCCACTGTATTGAGAGATGCTATCCCTAAAGGTTCAGCCATCGCATTTGATCATGCCCATGACTTTGTTTGGAGCAGTTTGGATGTTTTCAAAACACACCGCATTCCTTTTCAGAAAAAATGAGAGCAGGAGGCAAATCTGACCACTCTTCGTAAATAAGATTATTTGAATTAAACATAGCGTGCTTATTTTATTAAAACCACAGATGGCAAAACATACAAAATATATTATCATCTATTTTGAGCTACCTGCAGTTGATGTAGTAATGTCCATCATTCAAGATGCCTTTGTAAAATAAACTGTGGAAAATGCAGGATTATATTTCACATATTTACCGATTTCTAACTGGAGTTAGGGAAGGTAGTCAAGGAAATATTGTCTAAAAAAGTCTGGTTTGACCTGAAAGTTTCCTGTGAGTGTTTTGCAGACTGTGATTTTGAAACATTGTAGGTTTTTGAGTGCAGATACTGTGGTACCCGTAGCACTGAGAAAATAGGAAGCACTTCAGAAACTTTTTTCTTGAAGATTGGTGATCTGAAAGTGTACAGAATACAAATCTGAAGTCCCTGTAAAGTAAATGGGAGTGTGGAGTTAATATTTTGCTGATAAAACCGGAAAAGATTAGTGAATATTGTTTGACTTTAAAAATAACCACAAGGTAATTATCAGTAACTACTAACAATGACATTAATACCTTGACATACAAGAAGTACTTTCAGTAGGAAAATTATTCCATGTAAGTATGGATTTGCAACTGTAGTCAGCTCATTTGCACCGTGTAATGGATTAGCTAGCACGTCTCAGGATCGTATTATTACCCTCTGCTGGGTAGGATGAAGGTAAGGCCTGCGCGGGCACACCGTAAGAATTAAGTGTGGCTGCTGTGCCCTAACAGCAGTCCAATCAGGCACACGTGGAAGGAAGCGGGACTTCAAAATTTCTATACCTGTTATTCTAAATTCTCATTTCAAATATTAACTGGGAGTATCCCGCTTTGGTTTTCTTTTTTTCTTTTTTTGTTTTCTAAAAAAGACTCGTGGTTTTAAATAAATGAATCTCTGTTCCCTGTTCATGTTTTCAGTTTTAAATCATGGGTGTAATCCATCCATCAGTGCAGTAATAGTCACCTCAGGACTTTTTGCACGCCCTCAGTTTTCAGTAGGTCAAACTGATAGTGAGGATGGGGGGAATTTTCACGTATTTCCAATTAGCTGTTCTGTAGAAAATAGTGGTGTAATAATGAAAGATCCATTATTCCAAGTACTTCATACTTCATATGCCCTATATGAATATAAATATAAAGCCAAGAATCCGTCAGGGCCATGGGGGAAATAGAGTTCCTGTGGGCTCTTATCCAGGATCACTGCGAAAGGTCTCAAGCCATGAAGTTCTATTTCCTTCCCTGGGACGCTTTCCCACTGATGCATGTTTTTACCTGATATTCATTCTGAATAAAATTTTATATGTGATGTGGTAGGAGAGAAGCCACTCAGACAGGAAGGTCTTTCAGTGGTGACCTTGAAATAAAACCCCACATTGATTTTCACAATGGGAAGAGTTTTGTGTATGAGAATGAGACCAGAGGGATAGCATCCCTTTCTGAACAAAAATTCTGAATCCCTAGAACTGCTTTCCAACAAGTTCCCAGGCTATACCAAGCTGTAGAACAAATAAATTCAACATTTTTTGTGTGTCTTGTTATCTCAATTATTAGTCTCAGAATTACTAAATACTTTACCTGGGTAGCATTCAAAATGCAGAACAGATAGCTGAAAACAAGACTTGTTCCTTCATGATTTATTAACATGAGGTAGCCTATTGTCCACGTGATTCCGAGCACTACCACTATAGAGATAGTGCCAATCACCTTTTTCATAGACGAATCCTTTTTATTCCTAGAAATACATACATATACAAGTTATTAATTCTATGCCTATACCATTTAATACCTTTTTGAGCTTTAAACTTTTTATTTATTCGGGGCTATACTGCAAAG